GATTTTTGACAAATGTGCAGAGAAATTTAGGGGAAGATGATGGAATTTGAGGATATGACATGACAACTGGATAAGCCTATGTGCATATGGCCTAACTTTACATCTTACACAAAACTCACAACGGGTTGTATTTCTAATGTAAACTGAAAAATAATTCAAATATTGAAAGAAAAAAATATATTCATAACACAGGGGTAGACATAAAGCTCTTAAACATGGCAACAGGAGCACCATCCTTGGAAGGAAGAGGAATAAGAAAAGGGAAAAGGGGAATGAGGAGGAAAAGGGATATAGACATAATACATGTAATAATGTATGTAATATGCATATTGTATGATCATACGTATTGATATATATGTAACATATAATAAATATCAATACACATTATATAAATAAATTTATATATATATATGACTTTATCAGGATTAAAGTATTTCTAAGAAAATGAAAAGCAATTTATTGGGGAAAGTATATCACATTGCTAGCAAAGGTCTTGTATTAATTAAGTATGCATAAAGAGCTCTCAAAACTTTGTATAATATAAAAAAATAACCCAGTTAATAATGGGCAACCTATTTGAACATACATTTCCCCAAAGAGGGCTTGCATATGGCAGATAATCACAAGAAAATGTGGTCAATGTAATTTATCATTAAGAAATTGTAAATTACAAAGCACCATGTGGTGAGATGAATAACTAGAACTCTCATCTGTTTCTGATGGATGAATGCAGATTAGAGAGGTATGTTGGAAAACATTTTGGCAGTTACCTATAAACATAGGACCCAGTGATCCTATGCCTAGGGAAAAGAAAATATGTTGAAACAAAACTTGCACATGAATGCTTACAGTAGCTGTGTTTGCACATTGATACCAACCCAAATATATTTCAGTATATGAGTGGGTAAACATGCTGGCATGCATTCATTTGATGGACTACTGCCCAGCATTAAAAATGCATGGACATTTAAATAAATAACACAAACCATGGGCACAACGTTCGTGAACCTCAGTCTTTACACTGAGAAGTCAGTCCTAAAAGGTTGCTTTCCATGATTGCATTATACAATATTCTCAAAAGGATGAGATTATAGTGATGGGTGTTCTCCATGGAATACCAATGGGATGGTATGTACCTACGAAGAGACAACACAAGGGAGCCTTGTGGTGATTGACACCACACTGTGGTGATGATGCAAGATAAGTGGTGAATGCATGATCCATGCATGTGGTAAAATTCTCAGAACTGTACACCCCTCTCAAATTTTTTTCTTGTTACTTTAATTTAATGATAAAGTCATAATGTAGCTTGTGCTATTCGTTTTCCAAATTGTTTGAAGTGATGTAGGAATCTATAACTCTAGGTATCCTAGCTTCAAAAAAGCATGGATCAGTAATGAACTTTGGAAAGATTGCTTAGTGCATGTGTCCTCCCTGCTATTCACATTGCATCCAGGTGAATGAGACTTGGGAATGAATCTTCCAGGCATAGCCAGGCATTGGATGGCTGCAGCCCCGCCAACATTTGACTGCAACCTCCTGAGAAACCAAGAGCTAAAAGTGGCCCTACCAACACACTCCCAAATTCCTGACTCTACAAAAAAAGAAAAAAAAGATGCTAAATAGCCTTTCCTGTTTTAATCCAGCAATTTTGACTGCAGGAGGTACATACACATACATGGGAGTGATAGTGATGAGGACCAGGGATATGTGACCTAATGAGAAAGAAGTGAGGGATTGAAGGAGAAATGTTGGTATTAAAAATATGTTGTCTTTATCAGGACGCAGGAGGCAGGGTACTGAAGTGGCAGGAGCAGGAATAGGGAGCCATAAGCTTGAGTTTCAGCTTCAATAGTACTGCATGGTAAAAGCTCTCGAGCTATGAGTGTGCTCTTAAGAATCTATGCCTGAATTGTGGTAGAGGAACATGTCATAGGAGTCAAGGAGACCCAGACAATGACAGCTCAGGGTGTAGTTGAATCAGTTGTTAATCATCATGCCTACACTATGTGTGTTTTTCTGGTTTTTTTTCTTAGTTTGTTTATTTAATTAATTGTCTTGAAATGAGAACTTTTGTCTTTCCCAACTAGAAAGACTGTTGGGGGACTGTGAAAATGATGATTATATTTTTTAAATTTAAAAAATATAATTTGTTTTAATTAGTTATACATTACAGTAGAATGCATTTATGCATTTGATATACATAGATATATTATATAGAGATATAATTTCTCATTTTTCTGAGTGTACATGTTGCAAATCATATTGGTCATGCAGTCACATATATACATACAGCAATATGTCTGTTCATTCTACTGTCCTGCCGATCCCCACATCACCTCCCTTCCCCTCCCTTCACTTCCCTCTACCTAATCTAAGGTAACACTTTTATTCTCTAGTGCTCCCTGCCTTATTGTGAATTAGTATCCAGATATTAGAGAAAACATTTGGCCTTTGCTTTTGGGGGATTGGCTTATTTCACTTGGCATGATGTTCTCCAACTCCATCCATTTATGGGCAAATGCCATAATTTAATTCTTCTTTAAAGCTGAGTAATATTCCATTGAATATATATACCACATTTTATTTATCCTTTCATCTATTGAAAGACATCTAGGTTGGTTCCATAGTTTAGCTATTGTGAACTGAGCTGCTATAAATATTGATGTGGCTGTGTCACTGTAGTATGCTGATTTTAAGTCCTTTGGGTATAAACCAAGGGGTGGGATAGCTGAGTCAAATGGTGGTTCCATTCAAAGTTTTCTGAGGAATCTCCATACTGCTTTCCATAGTGGTTGTACCAATTTGCAGTCCCACCGGCAATGTCTGAGTGTACCTTTTTCCCCACATCCTCACCAACATTTATTGTTGCCTGTATTCTTGATGATTGCCATTCTGAAAGGAGTGAGATGAAAGCTTACTGGTGTTTTGACTTGCATTTGTTTAACTGCTAGAGATGATGAACACTTTTTTTCATATATTTGTTGATTGATTATATTTCTTCTTCTGTGAAGTGTCTGTTCATTTTCTTAGCCCATTCATTGATAGGGTTATTTGTTTTTTTGGTTTTAAATTGTTTGAGTTCTTTATATATCCTAGAGATTAATGCTTTATTGGAGGTACACATAGCAAAGATTTTCTCCCAATCAGTAGGCTCTTTTCTCACATTATTGATTGCTTCCTTTGCTGAGAAGAAGCTTTTTAATTTGAATTCATCACATTTATTGATTCTTGATTTTACTTCTTGCGCGTTAGGAGTCTTGTTAAGGAAGTCAGATCCTAGGTGGACATGGTGAAGATTTGGGCCTACTTTTACTTCTATTAGGTGCAGGGTCTCTGTTCTAGTGCCTAAGTCTTTGATCCATTTAGAGTTGATTTTTGTGCAGGGTGAGAGGTAGAGGTTTAATTTCATTTTGCTAAATATGGATTTCTAGTTTTGCCAGCACCATTTGTTGAACAGGCTATATTTTCTCCAGTGAATGTTTTTGGCACCTTTGTCTAGTATGACATAACCATATTTATGTGGGTTTGTCTCTGTGTCCTCTATTCTGTACTGTTGGTCTACAAGTCTATTTTGGTGCCAACACCATGGTGTTTTTCTTACTATACCTCTGTAGTTTAACATCTGCTATTGTGATGCCTCCTGCTTCACTTTTCTTGCTACGGATTTCTTTGGCTATTCTGAGTTTCTTCTTTTTTTCAAATACATTTTATGATTGCTTTTTCTATTTCTATGAAGAATGTCTTCAATATTTTAATAGGAATTGCACTAAATCTGTAAAACACTTTTGGTAGTATGGCTATTTTGAAAATATTAATTCTGCCTATCCAGGAACATGGGAGATCTTTCCGTCTTCTGAGGTTTTCTTCAATTTCTTTGTTTAGTGTTCTGTAGTTTTCATTGCAGAGGTCTTTCACCTCTTTTATTAGATTGACTCCCAGATATTATATTTATATTTTTGAGGCTCTTGTGAATGGGGTAGTTTTCCTAATTTCTCTTTCAGTGGATTCATCACTGATGTATAGGAATGCATTTAACGTATAGGTGTTGATTTTATATCCTACTACTTTGCTGAATTTGTTTATTGATTCTAGAAGTTTTCTGGTGGAATTTTTTGGATCCTCTTGATATAGAATTATGTCATCAGCAAATTGTGATAGTTTGAGTTCTTCTTTATCTTTTTGTGTCCCTTTAATTTCTTTCTTCTAATTGCTCTGGCTAGATTACCAAGAATGATGTTGAATAGAGACAACCATTATTTTTTAGGGAAAAAATAACATGGAATAAGAATACAAGTGAAACAGTAGGTTTTCACTAATATTTAGGTTGCAGATGCAATTTTAGGGGTTCTACTTAGAAATGCCTTTGGCACCCTGATCAAGACCCCTGGCAAGAGACATAAAATAAATTATGATCAGGTTGTTGTTATAAAAAAAAGACGTTAATAAGTATATGCAAATGGCAAGTTGTCTGTATATGTTGTATTCCAGAGGGACCTAGAGCCATAGCCAGTGCTACTATCTCTTTTCAATATTTTTCAAGAGCATAATAATAGAAATAATGAATTCAAAGTTATAACCATATACCCAAAGCCACTGTGAAAATAATTATATTGTGATACGAATTCTTTTTTCAATTTTTTATTTGTTCTTTTTAGATATACATGACAGTAGAGTGTATTTTGACATATTATACATACCTGGAGTATGAATTATTCTAATTAGGATCCCAATCTTGTGATTGTACAAGAAGTTGTGGTGTGTGTTTTAAACTCTGTGCTAGAAAAGCAAAAATATTACAGACACACAAGACATGAGCCAAGGGCTATGTGAGAGAAATTTTAAAGACGACATAGATTTATGTTACTAACATGAAGTAACATGATCATGGAGTCAGCAGGATTTAGTGATCAGTTATGAAATTAATGAAATAATTTTAGCAAAGTATCATCAAACATGAATGTTATTTATTTACTTATTTGCTTTTAATTTCCAATTAGGTATTCAATTGACAGAAACACAGATTTGGAGAGATACTTTAATATTGATGCCAACAGTGGAGTTATTACTACTGCCAAATCTTTGGATCGAGAGACAAATGCAATTCATAACATCACAGTTCTTGCAATGGAGAGCCGTAAGTTGTAACGTCTAAAATTAACTGAGGATAGAGGAGAATGAGGGTGGAGGACAGGTTGCTGAAGACTACATCACAAGCTTGAATCATCATAGTTACTTAAGCAAGTTGACCAAAAATGAGAAAATTCAAAACTTTCAAGCTGTAAAACATTTGTGTTCACTAGGGACATTTGCTAATACTTACAAATATGTAAAATATTAATGACATATATTTTCTAATATTTAAAAATTTAGTGAAAAGACAGCACCATAAGATAATGGGCCTGAATGAACTTTAAAGGTCCTCTTGCTTTGGAGTCACAGTTCATACATTTCATTCATGCTGGTAGGGAATTGGAGAACTAACTTACCATAATAGTAAATTGATCTGTACACTGAGAAACCTGCATTTGAATATTTTGACAACTAACTAATTTTAGTTCCTGATCAGAAAAAAAATTTTAAAACTATATCCATATTATATATATTAGCTAATGCATATGCACATCTTGTACTATGTATGTGATATAAATTTATAGTCAATTAAAGATAATCTCTAGGTTCAAATAAGATCAAATTTCATGGTTTTCTGTTCATTCTTCTTTCAACATTTTCCTTTTTGGTGACTACACACATGCACACACATACACACACACACACACGCAAGCACATATATACACCCCATATAAATATACATTGTGTACATACATAGATTACCACATACATATATGCACACACCCATTTGCATGTATTCATATATGCATATATGCCTGAAGGTATATATATATATATATACATATACATAAATTAACACATACATATTTGGATCAGATTATCTGTGGCTCCCTTTAAAGAATGTAGAATTACAAGTATAAATTTCATATGAGTCTTATGCTTCAGAGATGCAAATATTTTTGCCTGATTTTTTAATGTTAAGTGTTTTTACTAGTTTTCTGTGGACACTCCCTGAGAAAATTAGCAGGGGAATAGCAGCTTTTCTTTTAGAATAAATGGTGACACATCTTCTCATTTCCTAGAGAACCCATCCCAGGTAGGAAGAGGCTACGTGGCCATCACTATCCTCGACATCAATGACAACGCCCCCGAATTCGCCATGGACTACGAAACCACTGTCTGTGAAAATGCCCAGCCCGGGCAGGTAAGAGGCTCGAGGACCATGCTTGCTTCTTGTTTGTGGTTTCTGTAGGMACACCCAGCAGCAGTGCCTTTGAAATCTCCCAGCTTTAAGACAACATAGCATCCACATGTTTCAGCCAAACTAATGCTTTGATGTGCAGCATAAACTAATATGAAAGGCACATTCGAATTCTGGTTTTATTGGGTGACCACAGTTCCTCAGGAAGAAAAGGTCAACTTTATAAAAAGCCCCGCTCAATGGTTAAGGGCTTCAGCTTCTTTAAGGAGAAATAGAGCATATTAAGCTGGATCGGGCTGTCCCCCACATGACACTGCAGAGTTTAAGAACCTTGAAGTTCTGAGAGTGGAGTGCAGTGCAGTCACAGTCAATGTTCTGTGTCCACATGGCCATGATGTTTACTGGGATGTCTCATCGATTGGCGCGGCTCATTGCTGAGGTTTAGGAAAAGCAGTTCCCACATGCACTTGGGAAAGGCAGTGGTTTGTCCTTCAGGGCCCTTTATGGATTGGGTTCACACAGGCACACCTGCTGGTTCCCCCAGCTCATTCGGGAAGATGACATTTATTAGGATCTGGAAAACTGCTCTGTCCTGCTTCCAGAAATGTAGCAGAGCACACCAGTGTGCTTCCCTGCCTTCCATTGTCTATTTCTAGGTCATCCAGAAGATCAGTGCCGTGGACAAGGATGAGCCATCCAATGGACACCAGTTTTACTTCAGCTTAACCACGGATGCCACAAATAACCACAACTTTTCGCTGAAGGATAACAAAGGTAAGGTGTGATTGTCGCTAGCAGAGGTAGTGGCAGACTCACGAAGCAAGTGATTTTTTTCTCCAGCAGGAATGCAGTCATGGATTTTTTCTTTTTTTTTAGCAGCAAGGACATTAATTAAAGGGCAATGAGCTCCTCCAGTAATTTTTATCTATAGATCTGCTGCCACAAGGGAGAAGCTGCTATTTAAATCATTTTAGTCCTAAAGCCAAGGGGGAAAAGTGAGATCTATTTTTCTTTCTTTTCTTGTAGACATGTGCTTCCTTATTTGTATATCATGCTTTTATCCAAATGATCTAATATACTGAGGGCCAGCCTACTGCCTTAACAAGGACTATGCAGCATAGATACAAATTGAGTCGGGGGAAAATAATCAGACCTTGCACATTTCCACCCAAATCAATTTTGATTTAATGCTTTCTTCAATAACATCTGTTATTCTTTTTTTTACATAAATATAAAGATGTTCCATGAAAATGATAATAATATGTTCATTATGCTARTCACATAAAGGATAAAAAAATTAGAGAACTTACCATGACAAATCATGTTTCCTTGCTTCAGAGGTAACCACTCTTAGCCATTTCATAAGTGTTATTTTAAAAATATTTTACAAATACCTGACTTTGCTTAATAATATATTTTGACAACTATAGGAACTTTTAAAGGAAGCAGGTGATTATGCTTATCTGGTATCTAATTACAGATTTATATCTTGGGTTTCTGAGGGAAAATATAAGAAACAGGTTTGCTAGTCAAACTGGAAGGACTTACTTTCAAAAGATGGATATTATGAGAATTTTTGCAGCAACCCACAACCTTTCCTGCAGAAAATCCAAATTTAGCCTCAAAAATTCAATCTGAAAATAATAATTTTCCAGACACCAATCTCAATTTCATGAGAACACTCCATTTCCCTTTAGTCGTAAAGGAAAGAGCATTCTCTGCCTGTAATCCCAAACTCTCTGACTTAATCATCATTGGAAAGCCTCATTCTCGGGTTTGGAGGCTTCCAGTACAAAGGCAGATGGGGAAAAACACGGCCTCCACAAGGAGAGTGTGAATACGTCCCCAACACGTCCCCCACGTGTCACCATCCAGTGCCACCACGATGCTGTGGAGCTCAAGCACAAACATACCTGGATTTATGGGACATCATGCCACACAGTGGAAAGTGTCCCCACATTAACTACATCAAGCCCAGAATCCCCCAGCCTGTATCACAAAGAAAGACACGCAAGTGGAGAGGAAATCAGCCCTTACGTTCCTTTCCGTCTTGGGGAGCGTGCTGAACATAGGTTCTCTTCTCCAGTGGTAGAAATTTCAGCTTGTGCTTCTTAATCAATTGTGTATGTGTGTGCATGTGTGCATCTGCAGGTGTGCCTGCGTGATTTCGATGTGTCAGATTACAAATCAACAACTTTGTAAAACTTTTCTGTATCAAATGCTAAACGCAAATACCATCTGAGTCAAATTTATAATAAGACCTGTGTGTTAATATGTTAAGTGTATAAGGACATGTGCAATATAAATCCCTCAGCTTTTCAGGGAGTACCATATCAAATTTTTTCTTGTTTGTTTGTTTGTTTCCTAATACTGGAGATTTAACACCCAGGGACAAGCTATACCTACGGCCCTTTTAATTTTTGTTTCTATTTTGAGACATTCATTTAAAAAAAAAATAGGGCCTCAAAATTATGGCCATATCTTTTAAAATAATAGATTTGTTTATATAAAAAACCACCAGAGGGAATATAATAATCAAATATTTTTATTTCTTTATCATCTATAATTGTAGTAAATATCTTTCATGAAATTTAAGGTGAGCCTATTGTTTTGTGCTGTTTGAGACAGAAAGGACATCAGCTTGCTCTTTCACTTGAGTATTACTAATGTGTGTGTGTGTGTGTGTGTGTGTGTGTGTGTGTGTGTGTTTGCACCTACTCATGCAGTACTAAGGGTTCATCCCAGGCACTTTACCACTGAGTTACAACCCTACATCCTTTTTATTTATTTATGTATGTGTGCATTTTTGATTCAGGGTCTTGCTAAGTTATACAGGCTAGCCTCAAGCTTGCAATCCTCCTTTCTTACCCTCTTATGTAGCTGGGATTATAGATGACTGCCACTTTACCTAACCCAACTATTGTTAATGGGTTTCTGTTAGCATTGGATAAACATATATTTAACTTTTTGGAAGAATATATATATATATATAGACACTCAGATAAACACATAACACTGTATATGTACATCCTTTTACATGTTTCTCTATACTTTATATACAGTCTATATACTTTCATACATATGTGAATATATATTTATGTGTGTGTATATATATGTATACACACACACACACATATACACACTGGATAAAACTATGGTCCTGATTTCCCTTCTTTTGCTTTAAATTTTTATTAGTTACTATAAATTCTGAGAATCCCATAAATTCTATAATTAGTTAATTAATACAATTTATCTGGAGAAATTGCTAACAAATTAAGAAATCCATTTCTGATATAGAAATCACAGCATGTCATATAAACATATTGATGAGTTTTTAAATATTTATAATTACTATAATGTTTAGATGAAATAGAATACTGAATATAAATTAAACAAAAATGACTTAAGTTATTACTGACAACATATTTTACTACATGCAGTTTAAGGAGGTAGAAGTATCTATGAATATTTTAAAAAGAAAACAGTACAATAATTTCCCTACTGAATATCCACGCATAGTCATGTGCTGTGTGCTGACACTTCAGTTGGTGGTGGGCCATATCCATGATGGCTATGTGACAGTGGTCCCATCATATAATGTCCCCTAGTGATGTTGCAGCTTTCTCAGTTTGGGTGAGCATGCCATGATGCTCCCCTAAGGATAAAATGACCTGATGTATTTCCCAGAATACATTCTGTGTTAAGCAAAGAACTATTCTATATTGAATTTTAATAAAGCCACAGTAGCTTATTTTACTTTTTTCTAATATTGAGCTTGGAACTTGTGAAGAAAGGATGGATTGGAAATTTCAGTCATTTTTTAGTTTTCAGTGGACACAACATCTTTCTTTGTACGTGGTGCTGAGGATCGAACCTGGGCCGCACGCATGCCAGGCGAGCGCGCTACCGCTTGAGCCACATCCCCAGCCCAAGTTGGCTCTGATCTACCTATTGTGGGGTCGGGCTCCAAATTCCTTAATAGGACACCCATAGCACAAGAGTTAATAACTAGAATCAACAAATGGGACTTACTCAAACTAAAAAGTTTTTTCTCAGCAAAGGAAACAATGAGAGAGGTAAATAGGGAGCCTACATCATGGGAACAAATTTTTACTCCTCACACTGCAGATAGAGCCCTAATATCCAGAGTATACAAAGAACTCAAAAAATTAGACAATAAGATAACAAATAACCCAAT